AGTAAAAACTTCGGGTTAATTCAGATTACTCATATGGCTAATCTTTACACTGAAAATTTAATATGATCTTAAATTAATTTTAGATTAAATTACTCTTAAAATAAGAAAAAAAAATTAAAGATTTTTTGTAAATTTTTAATAAATTAGAAACAAATTTTTAGAAAATTATTTCTCCTAAATGTTAACATAGAATAAGTTAAAATTTAACAAAATAAGTTGAAAAGAAAAAAAAAGTAATCATAGTTGAAGTTTTATATATAATGTATTTAAAAGTAAATATATATATGAAAATATTATTAAAATTCGGGTTCGAACTGGTTCGAGTTGCTAGCACTTCAGCCCAAACCCAACCCTAATTATAAAAATGATTGTCCAAGCCAGCGAAAAATTGAGCTGGGCTCGAGTTGGGTTTGGGCTACCCTATCCAAGTTGCACCCCTACGCCTTCTTCCTCCACCTCTACCGCCGTTTTCATTCTCCGTCGTCACCGCGGCCAAAACCACAACCATGATTGCAAACAAAGTCTTTGTGTGTGGTCTTTGACCTCGATTCCCAGTATAATGGTAATCACAGTTTGTGAGATGAAACATTTGGGGAAAAAAAATTGATGGAGAGAGAGGGTTGTCTGGCAGTGATTTTATACATATATATTTTATTTTTTATTTTTTGAGAGTTAAATTCTGTTTAGAACTCTCTTTTTTTTAGAAAAATTAGGCCTATCAAAAAAATAAATAAAAATTTATATATATGTAAAAATAAATATAACCCATATTTTTATAGAAGGTCTATTTTTTTGGCCAATTTTTTCGCCTATTAGTTTTTATTCTTTGATATTTTGATGATATCCAAATCTTCTTCATGTTTCACTATTTTTGAACTTTAATTTTTTTGTCAACTTATATATATATATATATATATATATATATATATATATATATTGACATATGTTATGTGTGTGTGTGTATATATATATATATTTATATAGAGGCCTACCAAATTTATATATATATAAGTAAAAATATAACCCATATTTTTATAAAAAATAATTTTCAAGCCTATTTCTTGCCGATTTGTCGTGCTTATTAATTTTTATACTTTGATACTAATTGTTTGTACCCAAATTTTCTCCTTCCTTATTTTATTAATTTTGAACTTTAGATTTTTTGTCCACTTGTATATAAATATATAGGACGAATTATAAAAAAAAAAAAAACTTTTTAACTATTACCCATTTGTAAAAAACTCTCTTGTGAATATTTTTGACAAGAAACCCCCATCTACCACGAGAAAGAGGTAATTTAACTTATCGCCATTTAAACTAGTGGGACAATTTTTTCTGAAGAAATTATACTTGGATCTTCTCCACTGAATTTTTTTTTTTTTGGTTCTTCTCTACCACTTTGTTGTTTTCTTTATTTTATTCAGCTCCCTTACCAACCAAGACAGAATTTTAGGAGAAAGAATGGAAAACATACCTCTGTTTAGGCACTCAAATCAAACCAATTACATACACACACATGTAATTAACTCCCATGAAATCCTAAAGAATAAAAGAATTAAAAATCTACCATTGTTTCCAAAAAAAAAAAAAAAAAAGGAGAGAAGAAGAGGAAGAAATTTCGAGTAAACAATTACTTTTCGATGGCATTAGATCATTTCATTTTAGATGCTTGGAAGTAAAAAAAAAAAATGAAATTGTTCGAAAGCCTGTGATATTTCCGTTCATCTAATTCCCATAAACCAAAATTGTCGCCAGAGACCATCTGTTTGGTCCATTATAGGGTCATCGGACTGAACTAGAGCTTGCCTAGCTTGCGCTCGCTGGACTGGTTTGGTTTTGAAGGAAGATCGCCAGAGCTGTTCACGCCGTCACTAGAGTTTGCAAGCAGCATATTGGAGATTAATGTGTGTTCGCCGGAGTTGCATGCATACCCTGGAGCTCACTGTCAGTTCGGTTGCCGTCAAGGTAGGTTGCAGTTGCACGAAGCTCGCAGTTGAAGCTGGGTCGATGTAGTGTTTTGGGTCGATGTAGTCTGTGACATACTGCTCGCCGAACTGGACTTAGCTCACCGGAGTTTGGAGTTGTTCACCGAAGTTGGGGCTCGCCGAAATTCTTCTCTCTTGCTCTCTCGATTTAATTGGTTTTGGATCAAATCTCGCCGCTAAGGGCAGTCATTGTTTGCTCAGAGCTAGTATGGTTGTCTGGATCAGTTGCCGTTGAAGCATGCGGGTCGGGAAGCTCCAAGTTCTCTGTTTGAAGGGACACGCGTCACGCTCACAAAAGACTCCGAAGTACTCTTTCTCTCTAAGGGCATATATTTTTAAGTTAGGTCATTAAACTGCACTCCATTTGGTTGATTTTTGGAGTTTTCTCTCTGTTTAATTTATATATATATATATTGTTCTCTCTTTTCTTATATAGTTCTTAGAAAGTGAGGGAAAAGACCCATTTTTTATTTATTTTTTCTTCTCACGTGTTGAAGACCTAACTGAAGGTACTGACTCAAATGTAAAGATAATTTAGTTCGAAAAAATTACCTCACAAGATTGTTAAAGGGAAGTAAGTTAAATCACTCCATTAGGGAAATTGAGGAGGGTTTCTTGCAAATGAATAATTGTCAAGGGTTTTTTTTTTTGCAATTCGACCAAATATATATTGATAGTATGGTATTAATGTGGAGAGAGAGAGAGAGAGAGAGAGAGAGGCCTAACCCATTGCAAATAAATAAATAAGGGTTGACCCAGATAACCCGACCAACCTAAAAATATTTGGGTTGGGCTTCATGGGTTGAAGCCCGAATTTGAGTTATCTCGGGCCAGCCCAACGCAACCCAAAGCCGAGTTGAGGTTGGGCTCGGATTGGGCCAGCCCAAGTTTCACGAGGAGAGGGAGGGGTGTTTTAGTCATTTAGTTGTGAGATATTTTATTACTATTAAATAAGCATTAGTATAAAATTAAGGATAAAATTGACATTTTTCACAAAATTTTAACCCGAGTTGTTGAGTGTAAGTTCTTACCCTACAACACAAACATATACCCAAATAACATAAATTTTAACCTAAGCTGTTGAGTGTAAGTTCTTACCTACAACACAAACATATACCTAAATAACATAAATTTTGAAAATGTATGTAAAGTTTGGAAATTGAAGTACCCATAAGCAAATAACTGTCCATATATGCAATTAGTTAGCCTGGTTCTTACCACAACATATCCTGCAGCAGATCCATCCCCATCAACCATACAAAGAACTTTTTTCTTTTGCAACATTCAGTGTTTTGAATAAAATGATTTTATTTTTTAGTTTTTGCAATTTACTTTTTATTAAAATCCAACCCTCTCCATTCAACACATGCCACAAGTAAACATAGTCCATCTTCAAATTCCCAAATGGAGAATTTAGACAAGTACCAATTCCTTTTTCCGTTTTTTTTTTTTTTTTTTTTTGGCGTACATGTTCAAACTTCTGATTTTACAAAATTGACTTGCCAAAGAAGAATCATAGCCCCTTGATATAAGGCACCCACTTATTTCAAAAAAAAAAAAAAAAAAAAAAAAAAAAAAAAGAAAAGGAAAAGAAAAAATGGAGGACAGAGGTTAGTTCAACAATGAGATAGGTTGCAACAGATGAAGCAAATAACAATGACCAATAGAACTACTCGACATTTTGATTTGCCAGGTGTTACCTACAACACTAGCATATAAAACCCAAAACACTGACCATAGAACTCTCCCATGTGCATAATATTTTGTCAAGAAAGATCTTATAGACCAAATGAGGAAGAAACTCTCCCACAAATTCACTACCCAAAGCATTAATTCGGGGTCGTTTCCAAGCTAATATCTGACAGTGCGAATAGAAACTTCTATAAACAACTGAAATAAGTAAAGGGTGCATCCGAGAATTCAAAACAATTTCTTCTGGTTCTACAACAGAATAGGTTTGATAGATTTAAAAGAGGTGCCTTTTTCTCTCCCCCTTAATCGGATGGTTATAATATTAACATCAAGTAATTTAATACATAGGTAAGCAGGGCATACCCACACCGTACAAAGTGCAAACAAGAAAGGAAAATGATGTTGATGAGGTGCCATTCTTGAAACATCCCGACAGACCAAGGCAAAGCAGATAAACACACTCTGTTTGGTAAATTTCAGAGCTTTGAACCTTGTCTCTCTTTGGGATCATTCCCATATGCTTCAACAGCAACTTTGCTTTCTTCAGACTCACCAAGCTACCTTCCTTATCCAATTTAGTCAACCAGTTTCATACAAATCCCTTCGGCATTCTTCTCAAGTTCCCCAACATCACCCAACTCAGGTTCTCTCTTTCGTACTTCTCGTGGAACAATAATTTCACCCCCAAATATGAAGAAGACACTGATGGAAGCATCAATAGGCCATACATATCACACACTGCAAGGCCAACAAATCTGAAACTTCCACCTAACATGAGAAACCCGAATAGAGATCACAGAAACTTATTGAGCATCTCCAAAACTGACTGATCCCAATCTACTATTATTTGATAAATTCAATAATAGGGTCATAGTACGTGCATCAGCAGAGAATCCTTTCTCAACCATTTCTTGAAGAAGTTGCATTGCCCTTAACGTCTCATTGTTTCGAAGAAATCCTTGCACAATTATATTGTAAGTGCAACCATTTGGTGAACAATCACTCTCTTCCATTTTCTTGAGCAACATGTTTGCTTCGCTTAACAACCGTTCCTTACAAAGTCCATTGATCATAATGTTGTATGTGCGAACATTAGGTTGCAACATTTTGGAAGGAAGACTATAAAAGAGTTCCCTTGCAGCTTTGATGCTTCCAGCCCTACACATACCATCAATAAGGATGTTGTAAACCATAATATTAGGATGCAATCCACTTTCCTCGGCAAAACAAGGCCATTGCCTCGGCAAAACATTGGTTCTTACACAGTCCATCTAACAAAGTACAGTAGGTCATAATATCAGGATGTTGGCCACAGGCTTGCATCTAATTCAGAAGTTGTTGCACGGGTAAAGGTTTTCCCGCATGGCAAAAACCACCTATAAGAGTGGTATAAGTAACAGTATTAGGAACCAATCCCATATGAGAAGTTTCATGAAAAAGTCTTATAGCCTCAGTCATTTTTCTTTTCTTACAATACCCATTAATCAAGATGTTATAGCTACGAATATTAGGGGCACAACCCCTAGTAACCATCAAATCAAATATCTTCTTTGCGTGATGAATTTTGCCTTGCAAACAATATCCATCCATCAATGCATTGTACGTGACTGTATTAGGCTCCTCACATCTTTGAATCATCAATTCAACTATTTCTGCAGCTTCTATAACCTTCCCTTACTTACAAAGTGCATCCACCAAAATGTTGAAGGTTTGTACATCTGGTTTGATATTTCTATTCACCATTTCATTCAACAACCTTGTAGCCTCTTTCCATTGGCTTGAATTACATAGACCGTGGATTAAGGAGTTGTAAATGACAACAGTCGGTGAAATCCCTTTATAGACCATTTCTGAAAAGAGTTGAAAAGCCTCAGCTACCAGTCTGACCTTACAAAGACTGTTAATGATCATGTTATAAAAAATGACATTCGTTTCCCAATTTTTCTTCCATCTTCTTAACCAATTCTATTGCAGCCCTAGCATTCCCCGTTTTACAAAACCCATTTATAATGGTTCCACAAGTAAATGTATTAGGTTGAAATCCTTTTGTCCCCATGTCATTAAACAAGTTTACTGCTTGACCTATTTTATCTTCGATACAGAATCCCCTTATTAAAGTGTTGAGCATCACACAGTCCACTTCATAACCAAGCTTCAAAGTCCTCCCTAGAACAGAGAAACCCAAATCAACCCGGTTCAAATGGCAGTAACAATTCATCAAGATGCCCAGAGTATATTCGTTTGGCACTACCATTCCTGAGGATTCAATTTGATTAAGTAAAGAAATTGCAGTGGTGTAGTGTTTCATTCTCACAATGGCCATTAACAATCGAGTAAAATGCACAATTGAAGGAAGATGTCGCATTTGAGATATTTCATCAAACAATTTGAGTGCATCGTCAAGGTTGGTGAAATCAATTCGACTTTGATTTCTCAGAGACTTCATAAATCCGGTTCGACTACTCATATTTTAAGGGTTTTGATCTTAACCAGTTTGGGAATGAAACGAAGCCCTTAAATTATCACTAGCAAAGGGATAATGAATGAAGAAAATAATACAATGCTTAAGAGTAGTTGTAGACTTACAGCTAACTTTCTGGAGAGAGAGCGCACCACCATATCTAAAATTTGAGGACGCAATGACACTTCTTTGTGAGTCGTATGCAGCGGAATGTATTTTAGGAAAGTTTTAGGTTTTGTAAAACAAATCTGTGTCGTTACCAACTTTACTTATTTTATCAATTAAACAGTTAATCATATGCAAATAAAATAAAACAAAGTATAAAGTTAGAGATGACACCAGGATTTTAGCGAGGAAACCCTAGTTGATAAAATACGTCAACTGTTATGAAAAAAACCTCTTGGACTTGTGTAGTCTAAAGTAAACCAATCCACCAAGCTTGAAACAAAGTATACTGAACTTTGACTCTGGCTACACCCTATCGTTCTACACCATACCAACCGCTGACGATCCTCTGGCTTTGCGACTCCCCGTCCAACAGCAACTTGACCTCAGGCTTACACTTGATATTTGTAGAAGAGTAGCAGGTAAATCAGACAGCACTCCACAAGTGCCCCAATCCTTTCAAAGTGTAACTGCGTTTACTTCTGTTCTTCAATCGTCTGAATGATGTAGAAGATCTGCTTCGTCTGATCAATGTTAATACGACTGTATGATTATGGTCAGGATTCGAACTCCACAACTCTAACCTAATTAGGTGAATATGTGTATGTTCTAGGAAGACAACAGAAAAATCAACTTTGATTTTCTGAGAGGGATAAACTTTCTAAGGCTTTGTATGATATATGAATAATGATTAAAAGTCGTGAATAAACCTTGTATATGACATGGTTTATATAGAGGTTTGCAAAGTCCTATTCCTTTTGAAAATGAAGGAAATTTCGTACATAGGACTTAGAATGAAAGTTGGATCAAAAAGGTATTAAACTGAACAAGGAAACTAGAAACCTTTTACAATCAGGACTTGTGGAATTGGTTCCCGTATTTAGTATCGGTTCCCAAAGGACAATTAGTTATTTTTCGAAGTGTAGCTTATAGAACCGATTCCGAAATCTTGGTACCAGTTCCCACTTGACAGAATCCAATATGAACTTGAAAATTCTGTTTTTTTGGAACTCTAAAAATATACCATGTATATCAATATGTCATAAGTGGGAAACGAATGCCTAATATGTTGTTCTTCCATTTTCGATGATCAACAGTACTTTTCTCTTCTGATCAACCTCTAAATTCCGCAGTCGATGTCAAGTCTGATATGGTAACTGAAATTACAACCCGACTAAGACTTGTTTTGTTACCGAAATATACCAATTTACAAAAATATATCTCACATTCTTTTTATCATCTTTCACATGGGCGGAGCTAGGATTTTAAAGTGAGGGGAGCTAAAGATATAAAAATTTAAAGATGAACACAATAATTTTTATAGCAAAGATATGTTATATATATTCAAAAATAACAAAAAAATAATAATAATAATAGAAATAAAAAAAAATAACTGATGGGCTTGTAGCTTTGGTTACACTAAAAGAGCTATTTGAATGAAATGAATATTCTTTTATAAAATAAGTGAGATTTCGTCGGCTTGTTGCGTCTTTCTTTTGTTCAGAGAGTTTCTCATTGCTGGGCTAGGCCATTTGCTATTTTTGTTTTATTATGGCATGGGCATGGGATAGGCTGGGCTATGATTGATTGGGTTAGGCTATGACTGATAGAAGTAGTAGTACTAATTTTTTTTTTTTTTTTTTTTTTGCTATAGCCCAGGTTAGCCCACTCTAAGTTACGCCCCTGATCTTTCAATTCCTCTCTCTCTCTCTCTCTCTCTCTCTCTCTCTCTATATATATATATATGTGTGTGTGTGTGTGTGTGTGTGTGTGTGTGTGCGTGCGCGCGCGCTTATTATATAAAACGCAAGTCACCGAAGCTGGTTAGCTATTTTGGGGTATTTCAAGTAACGCCTCCCTCTTTAATTAGGGTAAATTGGTATTATTGTAATTTATTTTCAAAAAAAGTTAAAAATCAATTTTTAGGGTACCTAAATAAAGTTTGTGTGTGAATTTTTTATCAAGAATAAATAAATATAGGGATTAATTATAATGACACTCCTTGATATTTATTATATTGACAATTATATATAACTTGGTTTATTTTTAGACAAAGACACTCCTTAGGTTTGATAAAGTTAACAAACACACCCAAATGATCCTTACATGAATTAACATTATTGTCCTTTGACACATTCAATTACCAATTTATCCAATACCATTCTTTTAATTGAACAAACTACCCTAGTTACCTTACCAAACCAACAGCCACCACACCCACCACAACTAGTTCACACCCACCACCACCATCTCACAGCCCTACCATAGCCGCCGCCGCCACCATAGTGCTCGACTTTTCTCAGAGAAAAGAGGTTCTGATTGGAAACAAAATCGGTTCATCAGTATAAATTTCTAATATATGTATATATTTCTGCAGCAGAATAAGAGATTGAGGTTAACTTTGCAAGAGCTGAGAAAGTAACAACTCGAAGTGCTTTGAAGAAATATGAAATAAAAACACATTTTTTTTTTACAGAAGAAGAGATGCCAAAAGCAATACAGAGGGCAATGGAAGAATGGAGGATGAGAACCAAAAATGGCAGAGAGTGACCAATCAAAGTGAACCGAGCCATGACTTTTTCTCTCAACAACACAATCCAACACATGGAACCGTGGCAAAATGGATTTCAATTAGTATAAAGACTAAAACATGTGCCTAATTTCTTTGAAGCATTTTCTCAGTAACCAAACCAGCTGTATAAATCAAATTGTAAGTTAATTAACACTGAAACGATATGTATAAATCAAATTAAAATTGAAACAAGTTGTATAATAACATTAACACTGAACCGATCTTATAAAACAAACTATTAATTTAACACCGAAACTATCTTATAAAACAAGCTGTACAAATCAAATTAAAATTGAAGGAGCAAATTAATATATGTGTATTTATAACTCGTAATCCATTTTCTTCGCTATACCCACTTCCCCCAAATTCACTTCCCCAAAATTCCTGTAATCTATCTTCTTCCTATATATATGTGTATGAATATATAGATTGTGATTAATCGAACCACCACTGCCATTATCGTTCTTCTCGCCGGAGAGGCGGAGCCTCAGCATCGGTCGTTGTCGGGAACTTCTCTAGTCGTCACTATTGTCTGGTATGATGGTCGCCTTCGTCGAAGCTTCCGCTGGTCGTCGCCGTTGTCGGGAATCTCGGTTGGATCACAAGCTTTGGTTTGGTGGTGGGTTAGCGTCGGTGCGATGGTGGTGGTGCTCAAGTCTGGATGTGTATATACATATGTATGTATAGATGTTTATATGTGCTAAGGTGTGAAATTAAGGCTTGTAGTTTGTAGAAACAGAGAGAATATGAGGCACAAATCAAGCAGTGGAGAGAGGATGGAAGTTGCGGTGGTGTAGGACGGTCGGTGGGCTATGGTGCTGTGATGCTCTATTGGACTTGGTTATATATATATTATATATACGAGGGTGCTGATGTAATAGTGTATATATATAAGGGCAAATTAAATTTTTCATGAGTTATGATATTTTACCATAAAATTGAATTAAACATTTAAGGGCAATCTCATCTTTTTAAATGTTTTAAAGGCTTGTTTGGATCAAAATTTTCGTTAGGTGTCTTTGTCCAAAAAACGGCTAAATTATATTTGACTGTTAATATGACAAACTTCAGAGGGTGTCGTTATAATTAACTCTAAATAAAATAAAGATAAACCCAAGTATCATATATGGACTCTTTAAAAAATCTCTTATCATTAACAATAAGTCAAATTTCCACAAACCTTTTATTGTGAAGATGCAAAATGTAAGAATTGAATGATCAATCTTTAAGATGGATCCAACAACACTCAATGCTATTTCTTCAATAACACAATTTCACAAAAGTTCTAAAAATCAATCCTAACTATATATGTAATGAATAAAGGCAAAAACAGAACTCTTACGCTCTGATGTGTTTTTCTCAAGCTCTTATGCTCTTTTCAATAATAATATTGAAATCACTTAAAGAATCATATTTATTATTTGTATTGTGTTTAGATGAATATTGGCAAAATTTCATAAGAAACACACTGTATTCGATAAACCACGTATATTTTCGGTGTGTGTTTCCCAAGTAATTTAATTCTATTTATGATTGGTGTATTTGTTGTGTGGGTAATTCTTTATTTTTAGGGTCACTAATAATAAACACCCGTATGGTATGTAAATAGGGTATATAACCCTTATAGGTTTTTCGAAGTCCCTAATCTTTATTTTTGGTGCGAGGGCCTATTGTTAGTAGAGCGATTAAAATAATAAAGTGCCCTTGTGTATTTGGGAAAAAAAAAATGTGAAAAACAAAATAAATGTAAAATGACCAAAGTACCACAACCAAAAGAGAGCGAAACAGTGTTTATATGTAAAATGGTATAAAGGCATTTTAGGGAGACCAAAAGGGTAATTTAGGAAATTTGTTACTTACTATAGGCATATGCAACACAAATAACTACTTGAATGTGATTTTCATACATATTAAACGAATTAAGCCCTTATTTGCCTATTTTTTAAAACTTAACGGACTTATATATATCCAAAATAAAGGTTAGGGGTGTTATTTGCCCAAATTTTAAACATTTGGGGTTTTTTTTTTTTTTTTCAATTTACCCTTTATTTTATTCCCCAACAATTTGCACCTTTTTTGAAAAATAGGGACTGATATGCAACTTTTTTTAAAAAAAAATAGGGGTTGTTAACGCTCGCATTTGAAAAAAAGGGGGACATTGTGCACAAAATCTATACTATAAGAGGGTTTTCTATACTTTACCCAAAAACAATTGATGAATATCCCATTCCCTTAACCCAAGTCTTAAGTTAATGTTTGGTTAAATAAT